GTACTATCTTTAAAATATTGATTTCTTAATTTTGGGTTGGAAAAGTGGGGGTCATCTTGTATATGGGGGCATCTTATTGACGGAAAAATACGGTACTTGTTTTTTTTTAATATGTCAGCTGTTTCTTAATGAAGTTGAAAATACAATTCTAAAAGTCACTTTTAATAGAAGAAATTATACTTCTCAGCAATAAATGTCAAACGCTAAAATAATCAGTCTTTTTGCTGGCTTACCTTCAATCATACCTTTTGATAACTAATATAGTTTAAAATACCAATGTGACTTAACGAAGACAACATTCACTCTTGGTTTTTGTGGTCTGTATTGCTATAAAGCACTTGGAATACTGTAATTCCAGGAGGCCACTAGATAAGAGGAAAGAATGACTGTTTCTGCACCTCTTTGCTGTCATCTAGTGGCAGGCTGGGATTCTGCAGCTCAGATAAAAATACATTAAATTGTGCAATTGCTTGCATGCTTATTTAATCTAACAAGTATTAGTGGCCGGCATATAGAATTCCAGCCTGAAGTATCTTACCTTTTATATTCCTCTAGTAAAGTCCAGGTATATATAAAATATTATGCTCATGTTCTTCTTTTCTAGGGGTGTTATAATATAAACTGTGAAGTATTTTTAAGTATGCCTTGTGTACTTGGAATCAATGGCGTAATTGAAATGATGAAGCCTGTAGATGAGGATAATGTAGTTGAAAAACTACAAACCAGTGCTGCATCCATTAATGACCTTCAACAGCAACTGAAACTCTGACCACCTTTTTGTCCTTAAAATATTTGAGAGTTGCAGAAAAAGTATTAACGACTGACTGGATCCAACAACAAATTTTCACAGTGCGGAACTTTACTGAATATTACTATATAGTTATTAAAGTTAGACAAAAACATTTGGGTTAAGGAAGCTGTTACCGTTTGGCCAAGGTCTTCCCTGTAAGATGTTTCCTACACTAATCATGAACTACTTCTTTGCCTTTTCCTCATCAAGCTGTGCCCTTCACTACTACCACTCGACTTTCTTCTCAAAAGTGAGTTTTTATTTTAATCAGAGGTGTTAGGTTTTTGCAGTCGGAGGTGATATATCACCATCAGATTGTTATTTCCAATACACTATTGACTGTATACGGATAATATACAATTCTTAGAAAGAACCAGCAGCAGTTTTGTCTAAAATCAATATTCATGATTCAACTGATATTTATCTGCTTTTTTAAAAAAAAATGTTTACACTACTAAATCAATCATCTGAAGCTGAAGTTTGGATGTATTGCACAAATATTACTTTTTTATGTCTAAAAATAGTTGAGTGTTCTGTATAGATTCTAAAGATTTAGGAAGAAGTCTTGGATGAAGGATATTAAAAATATGTTAGCATATTACATGCTGTACTATCAAGGTTAGCTTATGAAATGTATGTAATTATGCTGGTATTCTCTAAATGAACATCAACCACCAAGACCCAGAGGATTCTCTCTGTTTTAGGCACATGAAGTGTTTTGGTTTGTCCTCCTTTATCCCTTCCTAAAGTTCAGAAAGACCTACCAAAGTAATCTTTCTCTTGAAGCTGGATCCACGTTTCTGGAAAAGGACAGGATTAACACATAAATGCACTATTCATTATTATGCAGTATAGTAGTAAGTTTTAATATGTTTGGCTGATCAGTTCTAATATTGCACTAAGCTTTTAGCAGTACAAAATATTTGCCAAATTTCATAAAATGTCTATTGTGTACTTATGTATGCCTATAATGATTTTTGCCATTTTTCTTTAGATTATGTTTCTAAGAATTACCACATGGGAAAAAACTTGTTAATGAGATATTAATAAAGCTAATTGTATCTGATGTACATCTTTTGTTTTACATTCTGTGATCTTCAGAGCTGAAATTTAATGAGGAAGTGATGCCCTATTTCATGGATGCACTGCTGGTATTTTGAGTCAGTATTAACAATATCGCACAGAATTTCAGCACACTAGTCAACTGAGTGACTTTGGGCCAGTCACTCACTCTCAGCCCTGGGAGGAAGGAACTGGCAAGCCACTTCTAAAGAATGGTGTCAAGAAAACTGCAGGGGGCAGTTGCCAGGAACTGATTAAAGGCACAATTTTTTTTTAAAAAAGGGCAGGAATAGCACGCTTTGAAGCCACCTATCCTTATCTTAAAACAAATAACAGTAATAAAAAGACTAAGCCCACTTGTAAACATGTCTTGAGGTTAAATGTGAATAATAATAATAATAATAATAATAATAATAATAAACAGCTTTACTTGGAAGCTTATATCCTGTGATGATACCTTTAACATCATCAGACAACAGCATCTGCCAGTCCCAGGTCCTTGGGAAGGACTCAATAGATGGATAAAAATACCAAATCCAGTCTAAACATCTGGCTGACTGTGCGACCAACCATAATAATATTTTTTTGGTGCTGTTCTAGATGTTCAGTTATTTTTTTTCAATTCCTCTTGTTTTTTAGTTAGAGGGCTTTGTTCTTTCGGGATAGGAAGGCCAGAAAAATGACAATGAATCATGCCCTTCATCCATGCAGCAACATTGATAGACTCTACTTACCAAGGAGCATAGGTGAGCATGGAATGTTACAAGTACACCAGACAATTGAAGAAGAAAAAAGGGCATTGGAAGAATATCTGAAGGACAGTGAAGAAGATGCACTGAAGCAGGTACACCATGAAGG